GATAAGTTAGTAAAACTAGTGCGCCTTTAGCTATAAGCTAGTATAGTATAAAGTCTAATTATTTTATAATAAAAATTTCTCTATATAGCTACTTAAGACTTTATAGTAACTTTATACGTCTAACTTTATAACTATCTACGCCTTCTCTACTATACTAGTATCTTTACTATACTACTTTTCTACTCTTTAAAGTTATTTTAATATTAGTTTTAAGCTTTTAGTGCTACTTTTTTCTAGATAAAAAAGCTACTTAGTACTCTAGTAGAGTATAGATTATTTATAAAGTATTTAAAGAAGAAAGATTTTATAAGAAAAAAAGTATAAGATTAAAGATCTTAGATAAGAGACTATTATCTAGCTTAGTCTAGTAGTATTATTAGCTTCTAGTACTCTAATAAAGCCTATACCTACACTAGTTAAAATCTTTAAATTTCTTAATACTAGTTTATAAAACTAGAAGACTTTTAAATTTCTTAATACTAGTTTATAAAACTAAAAGACTTTTAAATTTCTTAATACTAGTTTATAGAACTAGAAAACTTTTAAATTTCTTAATACTAGTTTATAGAACTAGAAGACTTTTAAATTTCTTAATACTAGTTTATAGAACTAGAAGACTTTTAAAACTAAGATTATTAGTAGTAACTAAAAGAAAAAGGCTATAAAAACTTATACTTATAAGAATCTTTAAGTTAAGATCTCTAGCCTTAAGATCTCTACTATTACCTTACTTCTTTTTAGCTAGCTAGATATAAGTTCTATATATTTATATTTTTATTATTATATACTAATAGTATTTAGACTATAATAATAATATATAGTATCTAAAGCTTAGATTCTATATTTAGGTTAATAGTTTTATATAGAAAAAGAAGGTCTAACTAGCTATACTTATATTTTTAATTATTCTACTTCTATCTATAACTAGCGTTAGTAGAGTTATTAAAAATTACGTTATTAAGTTTACTACGCTTTCTACTTTATAGGCTCTTAGATAGCTTTAACTCTAGCTTACTTCTAGAACTACTACTACTAAGGTATTTTCTACCTCTATATCTTTATACTAAGAATATAACTTCTAGATAATTATTATTATTAATAACACTAGCTATAAGTTTTTAAACTTCTTAAGTCTATATATTACGCTACTAAAGCTATTATTAACTATCTTTTCTTTATTACTAACTTTCTTATAATTATTATTATTAATAACACTAGCTATAAGCTTTTAGGTTTCTTAAGCCTATACGCTACGCTACTAAAGCTATTATTAACTATTTTCTTTTTATTACTAACTTTCTTATAATTATTAACCTTACTATATATATCTACTATAACTAGTATTTTATAAATAACTATAGACTATATAAGGCTATTATTAAGCACGCTAGCTATAAGCCTTTAGGCCTCTTTTAAGCCTATACTATCTAACTTTAATATATATACCTTTATAAAGACTATATATTCTATAATTAACTACTTTCTAGTTAAAATTACTAATACTAAATACTACGTTCTTAGTAAAAGAGCTATAAAGAACGTAGTATACTAAGATACTACTACTAAATTAAGTAAGTACTTTATTATTACTATCTTCTCTAGTAAAAGTATTATTAGTACTATTATTAATTTATAAGATAATTACTAATAATAGTATTAAAGCTTTTAAGAAGCTAGTAATAAGTTAACTTAGGCTTACTTCTAGAACTACTATAGAAGTATCTTATACTTCTATAAGATAATTACTAATAATAGTATTAAAGTTTTTAAGAAGCTAGTAATAAGTTAACTTAGACTTACTTCTAAAACTACTACTACTTTAGCTACTACTACTCTAGCTACTATAAAGTATTTTATACTTTTATAACTTTATACTAACGCTAATAGTTTTAACTTAAGCTTACCTCTAAAACTACTACTACTCTAGCTACTATAAAGGTACTTTATACTTTTATAACTCTACACTAAAAATATAACTTCTAGATAGTAGTTTTTAAGTACTATATATCTATAAAGATATACTACTTTAAATATATTACTAGCTTTCTTATTAGCTATAATAGCTTTTAGCACTTAAAGATTACTACTAGTAATACCTACTACGTACTAAAGTAGCTAGACGTCTAAGCTAGTAGTTTCTATACTATTATACTCTAGTTAGTTTATAGCTTTTATTAAAGTTAAAGCTATATTTAATACTTTATTAAAAGCTAGTCTAAAGAGTTTAGCTTATTTAATTTTTTTTTATTAGTAAGAAGTAGTAAAGTCTAATACTATACCTTTTTTATCTAACTCTTTTACTAAAGACTTTAAGTTAGTTATCTAGCTTTTTTAATTCTTTACTATTAGTAAGAAGTAGAAGACTACTAGCTTTATATTTCTCTTTCTAAAATATAGCTAGTAGCTTATTTATTAATAATTACTAGTAAAAGTTTAAAGAGTAGTAAGAGTATAAAATAGTATATATAAAAAGAAGTATATAGTAAGAACTTTAATTCTAACTAACTAAACTCTACTTTCTTACTATAGTTAGTATTTAAACTCTAACCTATAATACTACTCTAACTTAATACTTAGATTATTTCTTTAAGTAGTACTCTAAATAGCTAGAATAAAATATAAAAGCTAAATACTCTAAAACTAGTAAACGTTTATATATTATAGTAGTAGTACTATATAAGTACTACTTACTTATACTTTATAAAGAAAAGAAAAAAGTAAGCTATTCTATATCTATTATTACTTATCTACTTACTTAATCTTTACTACTATACTCTTACTACTACTACGTAAGGTTACTTATAAAAGTAAGTAGAATTACTATTTAGCTTAGTATAACTTTTATTTTCTTATTATTATTATTATTATTATTATATACTAAAGGTATAGAAAAGATAAAAGTAGAAATAATAGGCGTAGGCGTAGGCGTAATTATTAATAGTAGTATAGCTACTATATACTAAGTACGCTAAGTAAAGTTCTAAGATAAACTATATTACTATTAGTATATAGTTACTAACTTTAATAATAGTAGTACTATACTTACTTACGCTTCTAAACTATACTAGACCTTAACTTACTTTAGTAGAGCTTATTTTATTACTATTACTACTATTACTACTATATAATAAATTATAGTAGTAGTACTAAAATTATAGTATATAAAGTACTAAATAGAAGACTAAATAAAAGAGAGTTAAAAGTAGATATTTTAAAGTAGTTACTACTATTATTATTATTAATATAAAGAGTATTATATAATATAAAATTACTATAAGCTAAAGTTTTAATAGCTATAAGTAAGATTATAGTTTTAAAAAAGGTATATTTATTACTTATTACTTATTACTTATTACTTATTACTTCTTACTCTCTATTAATTATCTACTTTCTATATCTATATACTATATTACTATACTAGTAAAGCTAGCGTTATAGCTACTAATATAAAGTCTTTACTTATTATAACTTTATATTTCTACTAGCTCTTTTATACTTATATACTATATAAAGCTTTAAATCTAATTATTCTCTATTAATAATAGCCTAATATAGTACTACTATTTAGTATATTAGTTCTTTACTAGTCTAGTAACTTCTAGCTTTTAACTAAGATATCTACTTAACTACTAAGTAAGCAATTTCTTATATATAAAGTTACTATTTTTTTTATATTTAAGTTTAAGTCTTACTTATTACTATCTTTTTTTTACTTATAATAAGTTTATAGTAGTATAATATATAAAGGCCTTAAGAGCTTATAAGTAGTAGTAGAATACTTATAAACTTAAAGTAGATAAGTAGTAGTAGAATACTTATAAACTTAGAGTAAGTAAATAGTAGTAAAATACTTATAAACTTAGAATAGATAAGTAGTAGTAGAATATAAAAAGACTTAGGCTTATAAGTAGTAGTAGAATACTCTTATTATACTATAGTAGTAAAATACTTATAAACTTAAAATAGATAAGTAGTAGTAAAATACTTATAAACTTAGAATAAGTAAGTAGTAGTAGAATACTCTTATTATACTATAGTAGTAGAATACTTATAAACTTAGAATAGATAAGTAGTAGTAAAATACTTATAAACTTAGAATAGATAAGTAGTAGTAGAATACTTTTATTATACTATAGTAGTAGAATACTCTTATTATACTATAGTAGTAGAATACTTTTTATATACTATAAATACTATAGTAGTAGAATACGCTAGATATTTTATTATACTATAGTAGTAAAATACTTTATATATACTATAAATACTATAGTAGTAAAATATACTATAAATATTCTAATATACTATAGTAGTAAAATATACTAAATATTCTATTAAGCTATAGTAGTAGAATATTTATTTTATAAACTTATTTCTTAATTATTATATAAAGAAATATAAAGATAGTAAAATACTAATAAATTACGTTTTAGAGTCTAATTATATTTTCTTTATATTAAAATTTATACAACAATTACTAAATAGGCCCTAAGTCTAGCCACGCACATTATTAGTTAATAAACTAGAAGCTTTACCCCTTAAAAACAAGGCTTCTTATCGTAGGCCCTGGGCCGTTGTGTTCAATTGAAACAAAATGTATCCCAACCCAATAGTTTCCAAGCGCGCCTCTCTCAACGGCATGGCACTCCTCCGTGGCTTAAGGATACTTACTTGCTCGTAAATCATAGTCGATTTCATATGCCCTCGAAACCTTGCCTTGATTGCAATGACCCAGGACATATGTTGATGTGTTCGGCAGTGTTGCATGGCGATATGATACATAGTCACTGCAGCCAGGTGTACACAGATTTGTCGATCCGTTTTGGTTGCTACACAGCAAAAACGACCTGTTCAATTTGATTAAGGCACACTCCGTACGCCTATAACCCAGAATATGTACATAACGAAACTCTTCGGGGACCTTCAGCTTGCGCAGTGCACTTCGGCTTTCTTTCCCCTTGGCTTCCAGTAAGTGAGTCCTAGCTCTGCCCTGCAAAACCCGCTCAGTGCAACAGAGAAAAGCCAGTACCCTGACCCGCAGCCTCCATCAGCGCACGAGTGAACTTAGTCCGCTCGCTAGTCTGCATGACAGTCGGGCGGCGAGTCCAGCCGATCTCAGTAGGCATGCGCTCGTTTCCTGCATCGCATGCGTTAGCCACTACTCTCCATTCATCCCCACAAAAGACAAGGGTAGAAACTTACGCAGCCAATACTCAATAAAGTCCTTCTTAACAGTACTCGTAGTGCCATCCGCCATAATCTCAAAGAACGAAGCACATTCACCCCAACTAAACCCATCAGCCAACAAGGACGCCTTGTGCTCCGGGTTAGTTTTCTCAGATGTCTCAAGTCGTGCCATGCGGGCGTCGGCGAGCTGCTGAACGGTAATCTCTGGTGTTGTGAAGAAAGAGGCTGTTTCCGCCCAGACGGTTTCGTTGAAGGGGAGGGGGTTGGCGAAGAAGCGGTCAGAGCGACTGAGACTGAAGTCGTGCTCCAATACGCCCTCGCGGCCCAGCGTGTCGAGATCGAATGTACGTGCGAATGGCTCTGGGTTGGTGCGTACGGCCTGCGAGAAGAGGATGATGGCGTCGCTTTTGGCGATGTTGAAACCCTCGAGCATGGCGTCGGCGAGGATGTCGCGGGTGATTCTTCGTCCGTCGTGCGGCAGGTAGCCGTGGTTGGCGAGGGTGTTCATGCCGGGGCATGGGCCGCGTGCTGTTGAGTCGTCGATCAGTGTGATGCTCCTATCACGACCAGAGATGTCTGTTTAGATGATGCAACTAACCATCGGTAGGACCTGGAGCTGTCCAGTTCCTGGGCACCCAGGCCTGGCGAGCGACATAGGTCGGGAAAGCCGAGGCTGACGCAAAGATAGCGAGAAAGCTGATAGTAGATGAGACCTTCATGGTGGTTCTAAATGAGAGAACGGGCAGAGTAATGATGGGAATGGACCTCAAAAATGAATGTTAACGAAAGGAGGTGAAGGTATGACTGTCAATGAGTGATTCGCTTGAAGTGATCTCTGCTGGTGTTTATAAACTCTTTGAGCATTCAGATTATATATCGACCTGCTTCGAGTGACAGCTACACATCGTTGTCAGGCGTGAAACTCGTCAATGGCATCGCCAGCCCTCGGCCCCAACATCTAAAGGACGTTGCACCACGCCATTTGGGAAGCCTCGGCTCGCAAAGTCGACGAAGAGATGCGATACGTGAACTTTTTGACGGTTTTCTGGGATGTGCTTGATACGGATTCGCGGTGGGGAGAGGTAAAAGAAACACTCGAGGACTTGGCGGTTCGAAATAAACAACCGACAAGCCACAACTCATTTCGCGTCCGTTACAACGATCTCGGCGTACGTAGGGAAGTGGGTCGCATCCTATCATATCGCGATGCGCCGGTAACGTTCCTCGGTTCGAAAGGACAGACCCATAAGTATTGGGATGGAAAGCGACGTATGGGATTCTTCCTAGTCGGCCATCTTCTAGGGAGATTGGATATGGCAGTGCGCAGCGTCCGAAACTCTCACTACCATACAACAAAAGCCTTGGAAGTAGTGAGAGAAACCGGGTTCGACAAGTTAGACTAATTTCATCGCAACACATGCTTTGTAAAAGGCGATCCAGTTTGCAAATCGCTGCGATAGCCCGCCTGGTTGTTGTTGACAATCGTAAGATGGCTAGCATGATCGGGGTGCTCTCTACCAGGTCAGCTGACGATGACTCCGAACAAACCACAGTTAGGCCGACCATGTCATTTGCCGTAGACCGTCCTGAGTGTTACCAGCTGATCGGGCGTGTTCCTCTCGATCTGAGGGTCGTGATTTCACCTCAGACTGGCACGAAACACCATCCCCACAAATTTAGGCCTCGGCAGTTTCGCGACATACCACATCCTCCGATGCTTTTTATCCAGTCCGATGGAGGTCATAATTTGTTTGGCAATGGACGTCATGTTCGCGTCAGGCGCTTTCCTGTGCAAATCAAACTGCACATCCATCGTTCAGGATTGACATCAAGTTGCACAAAACGATGCGATCGAAGGGTGTATACCGCGGTACGGGCAGCACGATCTTGAACGAACAAAAGTAAGTCTAGCATCACTGTAAGCACTTCTTTGCGCGTGTGGAGAAGTTCCAGGGCCGTGTGTATTCGAGGTGCACTCAGCCACCCGGAAACGCTGTATCGCAACGAAAACTCCGAGTGGTATTCAAACAATGTTATACAGGCTGTCGGCGGTTGTCCGAGAAATCGACCGTGTCGACAAGTGGACGTGTTTATCTCGAATGCGTAACGTTTAGTCTTGCGAGGGTTTCGATGGTTCCGGCTGCGCGGCCAGGCGGTTGTCGCCCTTGGGCTTAGATTCGGCGTGGAATTGTGCGGATCTGGGTGTGGTGCTGCCGTCGTCCCAGAATTCAACATCGCCTTCTGCGCTTAAGGAACCCCTCTTGACTAGGCTGCCTTTCTCCCGCATGAGGTCCTCGATCGTGACGGACTTGTCTGAGAACACCTGGGAACTATTAGCCTCAAGCCATGCCAACTATCCATGGGTCATACCTTGAGGTGGTCTGCAATGAGATGCCGATTCTTGCAGCCCGGACATTGGATCAAGACAGTCCCATGGTGGTAGCCTTGCTTCGACAGTCGATGTGAAGAGCGTGTCTTGCAGACGTTGCAAGTAAATGTGAGTTCGTATGACGGGACTTGTTCACGCTCTAGTCGTGAGTCTGGCGCATCTGTTGACGTGGGAGGAGCCGCGCTTGACTCAAAGCGGACAGTAGAAGGTAATCGCGCATGTGATAGTATGAGTGAAGGTCGTATGGCAGCTGACGTTCGCGGTGTGTGGAAGAGGCGCTTTGCGGGCGCTGGAATGCGCTCGGCATGGGGGATTCGTGCAGTTCGGGGCGCATTGCTTCGGGCGATGCCGCGCAACAAAGAGGTGGAGGAGCGCATGACGATATGACACAAACTGACACGACTCAAAGATGGTGAAAGAGTGAGCTGGCGACTGTGAAACGGCGTGTGAGGTATGACGAACGGAAGTGCAGCGGGCAAAGAATAATTGACCGAGCGCCAAGCCATGACGACGGCGAGCTCTCGTGCAGCGGGGACCCTCGCCCGCAACACGCCCGGCACCTGAACTTCACCATCACTCGCGTCTGCCGCCACGCGTGCCATTGCTTCACTGTCACCCTGACCGTGCTGCGTGCTAGTCCCCAAATGTTCCTTTGAACCTCCGGCCTCTTCCTTACACCCACGCCACACCGGGCATCTGCACCGCCAGCCTCCTCCGCCTTCGACCGCACCGAGCTCCGAAGCTCTAGATATCACACGATCAGAAGAAGGCAGGAGCGAAGATGATCGCAGGACGAGGAAGACAGCGGATACGGCCGCCAAGGAGGGTACGTACTGCGCGCTCACTTTCACCTTCACCTTCACTTTCCTCGCGTGCTAGCCTACGCCGCTCAACCTCGCTGTCACAGAAAAAGACTCCATGCTGTAGACTCAACACTAACAATGGCGCGTTCGCAGGGTCTGCACGGCGACGAAGTAGATTTCGAGAACACGTGGGCCACCATCGAGGCGGCCTTTAGGGAGATCCACACAAAGAATGCGTCCAAGCTATCGTACGAAGAGCTTTACCGTCACGCTTACCGAATCGTTCTGAAGAAGAAAGGCGAGGCTCTCTACGAGAAAGTTCACGAATTCGAGCGAAATTGGTTGAGCACCGAGGTCCGAGCCTCAATCTCGCAATTGCTCTCAACGAATCTACTCGTAGACGCACAGAGTATCGGCGGAACTACACCAAATGAGCGACGTGTCGCGGGTGAGAGGTTTCTGAAAGGGCTGAAGCAGGCATGGAGCGATCACCAGATCTGCACCAGCATGCTGGCAGACGTGCTCATGTACATGGTAAGATGATATTTGGACGGACTGATGAGGATGTTGGCTAACACGGCCTGCTTAGGACCGTGTCTACTGTGCTGACCATCGCCGCCCATCAATTTACAACGCAGCCATGGTTCTGTTTCGCGACGAAATCCTCAATTCCAAGATATCCCCGACCGACGCTCGAGCGATCCTCAACCTCTTGAACAACATTATCCTCGACCAGATACAGATGGAGCGCGACGGCGACGTCATCGATAAGCAGCTTATCAAGTCCTGCGTGTATATGCTCGAGGGCCTACACGAGGGCGAGATAGAGGCGGAGGACCAGCGACTGTACAACACGTCTTTTGAGGTGGAGTATCTGGACACCAGCAGAGCCTTTTACCGCGAAGAATCGGAGCTCTTACTACGCGACGCGCATGCTGGCGCATACTGCAAACACGCGCGACGCCGAATTTACGAAGAGGACGAGCGCTGCAAGCAAACACTTCTGGACACTACGGGACCCAAGATTCAGAAAGTCGTAGAGGAAGAGATGATCAAATTCCGGATACACGAGCTTGTAGAGATGGAGAGCGGTGTACGCTTCATGATCGACAACCATAGACTTGAAGAGCTGAACCTCATCTACGACCTAAACAGGCGGGTAGATGACAAGAAGATCCAGACAACCCGAGCCATTCAGCAGCGCATTGTCGAAATGGGCTCAGACATCAACAAGGACGCGATCGCGGCGTCACTGGCGCCAGCCGTTGCACCTGCCGCCGATGCAGCCGACAAGGGCAAGGGTGCCGCACAAGAGAAGAGCCTGAACCAGCAGACTGTCGCTGCGATCAAGTGGGTCGAGGATGTCCTTGCCCTGAAAGACCGGTTTGACAAGATTTGGAGAGAGTCATTCGAGTGCGATCCATTGCTGCAACAGGCGCAAACAGCAAGTTTCTCCGATTTCATCAACTCGGTGACGTTCCCACGATCATCCGAATACATCTCCCTCTTTATCGACGAAAACATGAAGAAGGGCATCAAGGGCAAGACTGAGGCGGAGATCGACGCTGTGCTGGAGAAGGCTATCATCCTGCTACGATACGTGCAGGATAAGGACCTTTTCGAGCGCTACTACAAGAAGCACCTGTGTCGCCGTCTGTTGATGAACAAGTCCATTAGCAACGAAGTCGAAAAGCAGATGATCTCCAAGATGAAGATTGAGCTCGGCAACAATTTCACCCTCAAGCTGGAGGCCATGTTCAAGGACATGACCATCTCCGAAGAGCTTACCGCCGGTTTCAAGAAGCATGTAGAAGGTCTCGGAGAGAAGGATCCTAAGCGCATCGAGCTGTCCATCAACGTGCTGACCAGTATGACTTGGCCTCTCGAGACCATGGGTGGTGCGGCTGCCGACGAAGAGGACAAGCGACCACGGTGCAATTACCCTCTTGTCGTAGACAAGCTCAAGCGCGGGTTCGAAAAGTTTTACAGTCAAAAGCACTCCGGACGACAACTTACCTGGCTTCCCAACATGGGATCAGCAGACATCAAGGCCGTCTTCCCCAAGGTTCCTCAGAAGGACGGGTCTGTCAAGGAGCGTCGCCACGACCTCAACGTATCGACATATGGCATGATTATCCTGCTTCTCTTCAACGAGCTTGATGCCGGCGAACGCCTGACATTCGAAGAGATCCAAGCCCAGACGAATATTCCCCCCAGTGATCTAATCAGGAACCTGCAGTCGCTCGCTGTAGCACCGAAAACACGCATCCTAATCAAGGAGCCTATGTCCAAGGACGTCAAGCCCACCGACAAGTTCTCGTTCAATGAAGGCTTCCAGGGCAAGTTCGTCAAGATCAAGGTTGGTGTCGTCAGCGGCGGCAACAAGGTGGAGAGTGATCGTGAGCGACGCGAGACTGAGAAGAAGAACGACGATTCGCGAGGCTTCTGTATTGAAGCAGCAGTCGTACGAATCATGAAGTACGTATTCGTCACAATCTACATTGTCAAACATGCTAACAACGAACCA